GCTCTGTTTGCTTCCCTTAGTCCTTATAGAGATGAAGAATAATGTACAATGGCGCCATGCCTCTCTGGTGTTATTTACCTGGTACCTCAGTTACAAGTAATCCAGCTGCAACGTAGAGAGGAAGGAAGAGGGCCTCTCAATAGCCAAAACAGATGTCTGACAGTCAGGCTCCTATGCAATCATTTATTCTTACTTTAGATAACACGAACAAGCTTTTCCAGTAATGATGCTATGGCAGTTACCCTGAGAGCAGACAGGAGGGTCTGAGCCCAGGCGTGCATGGAAGACTAAAATGCGAACACAAGTACTCAGGAAGCCAGATGGTCTGGGGCTAGGCCCTGTTTTTACAATGAATAACTGGTCTTCATAATGACGATGCTGAATTATTAGGGAGAAATTAATTCATGCTTCATATAATCTTGTAAAGGCCCCTAATTAGAGGGTGATACAGTCTAGAAGTATTAGCTCCAAAGATGATTAAACTTTTCAGCTCCATTGTGTAAAAAAGTAAGTTTTGTTTTGGTATTAGTGCCAGAATATAACAGAGGTCTTTATCCTATGAGGGAAAGATAGTATAGCTGCCTGTAGTTAGAAGTCTGGACAGCCAAGCGTGGCAGGTGTTAGAAATCATTCAAACAGGATTTTTAACTTGGAACAGCAGAATGATCTCTCGCAAGTACATTATTTGCTTTTTGACTAAAAGAATATCCACAGTCTATAATCGAAAAATCCTTGGGGCCTGGTCAGTTTCGAAATTCAGAATTTTTCAGATTTCTTAAGCAGTAGTATGTAATGTAGTAACCCTAGCAGAGTCTGACATAGCATACGATGGTCAAATATTGTTAATATTTCTGTAGTGAAGTATTTATTAGGACAAATTGTGGGTAGTTTATTTAAATAACAAAATCACCAACATGAAATAGTGGGATAAATACAGAATGTAAATACTCTAGTAGTCTTACTTCTAAGAAAACATTTTATAAATCCTTCAATATACACAAGTTTGAATTCAGCTAAATATACCTGTGCAAAGACAAACGTGAACATTCGTCGCCCCTAGTTGCTTGAGCGTCTTAGGGGAAGAACCTCAGTGCCTGTCGCCAGCAGCATCCGGAGCGCCCCCTGATGGCAGGAGCAGGACTAAGGGCCATTTTAAGTACTTTTCCTCAGTTCAAATGCTTCGTTAATTTAGGTTTCCATCTAAGCAGTCCCTCTTAAATTATGAAAACGACCATAAACTCACGCTCATTGATAAATGCGGCATGGTTCAAGGCTAGCCCCTGACTAATCACACATTTTCACCATCTCATGTAGGGCTGTTTTTTTCCACCTGTGTTTACAAATTCATCTCCATCATCACTGTTATCCTCATGATTATCTATATTTAAAGCCATTTCACACGGTCATTAGGATAGCTACTATCAGAAAACCAAATAACAGGTATTGGAAAGGATGAAGAGAGATTGGAACACCTGTGAGCTGCTGGTGGGAATGTAAAATGATGTCGTCACTGTGCAAAAGCGTGTGACAGTTGCTCAAAAAATTAAAAATAGAATTACTATATAATCCAGCAATCCTACTTCTGGCTGTATACTAAAAAGAATTTAAAACTGGGTCTCAGAGGTATTTGTACCCCCATTTTCTTTTTTTTTTTTTCAGATTTCTTTTATTTTTTATTTATTTATTTTTTCATTTATTTTTATTAGTTGGAGGCTAATTACTTTACATCATTGTAGTGGTTTTTGTCATACATTGAAATTAGCCATGGATTTACATGTATTCCCCATCCCGGTCCCCCCTCCCACCTCCCTCTCCACCCGATCCCTCTGGGTCTTCCCAGTGCACCAGGCCCGAGCACTTGTCTCATGCATCCAACCTGGGCTGGTGATCTGTTTCACCCTAGATAATATACGTGTTTCGATGCTGTTCTCTTGAAACATCCCACCCTCGCCTTCTCCCAGAGTCCACAAGTCTGTTCTATACATCTGAGTCTCTTTTTCTGTTTTGCACATAGGGTTATCGTTACCATCTTTCTAAATTCCATATGTATGTGTTAGTATACTGTAATGGTCTTTATCTTTCTGGCTTACTTCGCTCTGTATAATGGGCTCCAGTTTCATCCATCTCATTAGAACTGATTCAAATGAATTCTTTTTAATGGCTGAGTAATATTCCGTGGTGTATATGTACCACAGCTTCCTCATCCATTCGTCTGCTGATGGGCATCTAGGTTGCTTCCATGTCTTGGCTATTATAAACAGTGCTGCGATGAACATTGGGGTTGTACCCCCATTTTCATGGCAGCACTATTTTCATGAGCTAAGACATGGAAGCAACTCAAGTATCTGTCACTGATGCATGGATAAGCAAATTGTAGTATATATACATACAAGTCAGCCTTAAAAAAAGAAGGAAATTCTGCAATATGCTACAGTATGCATGAACTTTGAGGACATTAGGCTAAATGAAATAAGCCAGCCACAAAAAAGACAAATACTATATGATTCCACTCACTTGAGGTACTTGTTGTTGTTGTTCAGTCGCTTAGTCATGTCCAACTCTCGCAACCCCATGGACTGCAACATGACAGGCTTCCCTGTCCTTCACTACCTCCCAGAGCTTGCTCAAACTCATGTCCATCAAGTCAGTGATGCCATCCAATCATCTCATCCTCTGTTGTCCTCTTCTCCTCCTGCCGTCAATCTTTCCCAGCATCAGGGTCTTTTCTAATGAGTCAGATCTTCACATCAGGTGGCTAAAGTATTGGAGCTTCAGCTTCAGCATCAGTCCTTCTAATGAATATTCAGGATTGATTTCCTTTAAGATTGACTGTTTTCACCTCCTTGCAGTTCATGGGATTCTCAATGTTTTCTCCAAAACCATAGTTCGAAGATATTGATTTCTTTGGCGCTCAGCCTTTTTTTATTGTCCAACTCACATCTATACATGACTACTGAAAAAAACCACAGCTTTGACTATACAGACCTTTGTTGGCAAAGTAATGTCTCTGCTTTTTAATACCCCATCTAGGTTTGTTATTGCTTTTCTTGCAAGGAGCAAGCATCTTTTAATTTCATGGCTGCAGCCACCGTCCACAGTGATTTTGGAGCCCAAGAAAACAAAGTCTGTTGCTGTTTCCATTGCTTCCCCATATATTTGCCATGAAGTGATGGGACTGGCTGCCGTGATCTTTGTTTTTTGATTGTTGAGTTTTAGGCCAGCTTTTTTTCACTCTCCTCTTTTAACTTCATCAAGAGACTCTTTAACTCCTTGAGATACTTAGAGTAGTCCAAATCTTAAGCACAGAAATTGTAATGGTGGTTACCAGGGGCTGAGAGGAGGGAAGTCTGGGGAGTTAGTGTTTGTAGGTAAAGAGTTTAAGTTTTAAAAGGTGAAAAGAGTTTTGGGGATGGATGATATGGTGATGGCTGTGCAACAGTGTAACTGTATTTTAATACCACTGAATTGTACCCTTAAAAATGGTTAAGATGGAAATTCCCTGGTGGTCCAGTGTTTAGGACTCTGTGCTTCCACTGCAGGGGACACAGGTTCAGTCCCTGGTCAGGGACTTAAGATCCTGCATACTGTGTGGTGCAGCCAAATAAACAAAACACCAGTCCTTAAAAAAAAAAGATTTAGCAAATATTCACTTACAAAAAAATAGTTACGATGATAAATTTTATGATGTGTAATTTTACCACACACACAAAAAAATACATTCACACACACACACACAAAGCCACTTCAGCATTTTCTCACTCAAGACATGCCCAATGGAAGTATTATCATCAATGTGGAATGTTTCTTTGATGTCAGTTTATACTTTTAGCTCATAAACTTTGAGCAAAAAGTAGTCTTCTCATTAGTGATAGGAAATCCTTTAAAGTTTTCATCGCTGGATTTTGCTTCAAACATCACTGTAAACCAAAAAATACAAGCATTATTAAAAATAGACTTTAAATTTTGAATAATCTTAGATTTTCAGAAAAATTGCAAAGATAGTATGGAGTTCCCATATACCCTGAGCCCATCTTCCACTAATGTTAAATAACCATGGCATATTTGCCAAAAGTAAGAAATTAATGATGGTATCATAGTATTCCTTAAAGCCCAGACTTTATCAGATTTCACCAGTTTTCTCATTAATGGCCTTTTTTTTTTTTTCCTGGTCTGGGATCCAATTTAGTTTACCCCAGTGCCTTTCATCTTCATGTCTCCCTGGTTTCTCCTTGAATCTGTGGCAGTTTCCATGTTTCCTTGTTTTTCACAACTTTAAAACTCTTGAGAAGTGTTGGTGAGGTATTTTGAAAAATGTCCCTCGAATTGAGTTTGTCTGAGTTTTCTCATGATTAGTGACTGTTTATGCATATCAGTGACACACACTTTTAATGTTGATGTATCACTGTAATCCAAGCCTAAGCACCTGATGGCATCCTGAAGACTGAACTTTTTCAGAAAGTCTTTGATTCTGAGATCCTTGTTAACTTCAGCAAGCAAGCATCTAGGACAATATTTGTCTTAGTTGTTACATGATTTTACATGTTCTTCACCGAGGATAATTCCACATCGGCATCGCAGGAAATTCAGGGTGGCGTTGCAGAGCGCTTCTCTAGGAAAAGTCAAGTCTTGCCGCCCTTCCCAGGCGGCCTGCCTGCAGGGGATGCCCCCGTGAGCCCTCACTGGCCAGCCACCATGCCTCTGGCTACCTGTGTCCTCTCTGTGTCCTGCAGCCCGGGTAAGTCACGCGAGCCTTTCTGGCATCCGAGGCCTGCTCCCTCCAGGCGCTGCTGCTTGTCTGCTGGGGCAGCGGTCACAGCACACCCACGGCCTGTGGTCACTCTGGTGTTGTGCGTGTCTTTCTGAAGGTGTATCTCCAGGAAAGAGCTGTTTCGTCTACACTGTCAATTTGTTCAAGAATAAGGTTTTCACCAGGCAGGATTTTACCAGATTTCCCCGTATAATTTTCTGATCATTAGAAGCTTTTTCCACTTGATTTCCAGATCATTCACACAATGATGCTTCTTCAGTGTGCCTGCTAAGTCACTTCAGTCGGGTCCAACTCTTTGCGACCCCATGGACTGTGGCCTGCCAAGCTCCGCTGTGCACGGGATTCTCCAGGTAAGAATACTGGTGTGGTTGCCTTGCCTTCATCCGAGGGCTCTTCCCTGCTTCTTCAGTATCTGTAGCCAGTTCTAATAAATGTTCACACATACCTTCAGGTTCTGTTCTTCATGGCATATATTCCAGTTACACATTCCCTTCTTGTGGAATCCACTGAGCCAAAACTTGGTCAAGGTCTTAACTCTTTTTTTCTATGCAACGTTTTCTGTTTTTTTATTTTTACTGATTTTTGTCCATCATCACTATATACCTTAAACAACAACTGTTTCTTTAAGTCATATTTAATAATTATTCTACTTCATAATTTCCAGTAAGATGCCTTACAGACTGCAGGATCAAGCTTCTGTAATGACATCACTGTGCTGTGCTGTTGTTAATGAGAGACACTTCTTTTCTTCATTTTATCTTCTCACTATTACCACAGGGTATCTTTGACTCTGTTTGACATTTTTACGGTTACAAAAGAACCAAAAAAAAAAAGCAACAAAACACCAGTATTCAGCAGATATTTTAGGAGGATTGTTATGACACAATTGAGTCTTAGGTCAGTTCAAGCCAGGTTTTGCTGCAAAATAAGTTTTGTGCCAAAGCTATAAAATAACTTTTGGTTTTAAGAGCTCTTAGACTTCAGAATTGCCGATAAGCAACTATGGACCCATTTAAAAAGTCTTTTGCCCATGCCTCATATCACGTGAGATCTTAGTTCCTGACTAGGGATTGAACCCGTGCCCCCTGCATTGGCAGTACAGTCTTAACCACTGGATTAAGGGACATCCTTAATGTCCATCATTATGTCCCTGTCCATACCAGGGACATATCATGGGCCTACTTTTTTCGGAAGATATTTTTCATGTAGTGAAAGAAATAACAGTTCCCTTCATTAAACAATGTTTCTTAAGCACCTAGGACAGTGAGAATGCATTTTTGTTTGTTTGTTTGTTTTTAACCAGAGACCCCTTCAGCCTTGGAGCTCTAACTGCCAAACAAAGGTTCTGATTGGCACTGAAATTTCATTTATAGAAGCAACAAATATTTTGACTTGTATACGAAGTAATACTCAAAATTCTCCAAGCTAGGCTTCAACAGTATGTGAACCAAGAACTCCAGGTGTTCAAGCTGGATTTAGAAAAAGGAGAGGAACCAGAGGTCAAATTGCCAACATCCGCTGGATCATAGAAAAAGCAAGGGAATTCCAGAAAAACATCTACCTCTGCTTCACTGACTATGCTAAAGCCTTTGTGTGGCTCATAACAAACTGTGGAAAATTCTTAAAAAGATGGGAATACCAGACCACCTGACCTGCCTTTTGAGAAATCTGTATGCAGGTCAGGAAGCAACAGTTAGAACCAGACTTGAAACAACAGACTGGTTCAACATTGAGAAAGGAGTACCTCAAAGCTGTGCGTTGTCGCCTGTTTATTTAACTTCAATGCAGAGCGCGGCATGCGCAGCACTGGGCCGAGTGAGGCGCAAGCCGGAATAAAGACTGCTGGGAGAAACATCAGTGACCTCAGATATGCAGATGACACCACCCTTACGGCAGACAGCGAAGAACTAAAGAGCCTCTTGAGGAAGGTGAAAGAGGAGAGTGAAAAAGCTGGCTTAAAACTCAGCATTTAAAAACAAAGATCATGGCATCCAGTCCCATCACTTCATGGCAAATAGTAGATGGGGAAAGAATGGAAACAGTGAGAGACTTATTTTCTTGGGCTCCAAAATCACTGCTGATGATGACTGTAGCTATGAAATTAAAAAACACTTGTTCCTTGGAAGGAAAGCTATGACAAACCTAGACAGCATATTAAAAAGCAGAGACATTACTTTGCCAACAAAGGTCCATATAGTCAAAGCTATGGTTTTTACAGTGGTCATGTATGGATGTGAGAGTTGGACTATAAAGAAAGCTGAGTGCCAAAGAATTGATGCTTTTGAACTGTGGTGTTGGAGAAGACTCTTGAGAGTCCCTTGGACTTCAAGGAGATCTAATCAGTCCATCCTAAAGGAAATCAGTCCTGAATATTCATTGGAAGGACTGACGCTGAAGCTGAAACTCCAATACTTTGGCCACCTGATGCGAAGAGCTGACTCATTTGAAAAGACCCTGATGCTGGCAAAGATTGAGGGTAGCAGAAGGAGATGACAGAGGATGAGATGGTTGGATGGCATCACTGACTCAATGGATGTGAGTTTGAGCAAGCTCTGGAAGATGGTGAAGGACAGGGAAGGCGTGCTGCAGTCCACGGCGTCTGAAAGAGTCGGACATGGCTGTGCGACTGAACAACAGCATGCAATTCAGGCCATGCATAAGATTTGTCAGCTTAATATATATTGCAGCCTCGGTATTTATATTGAAAATGGCTTAGATTTTTTACTGGTTTTCCCACAAATCCAGGGGTCTCAGGCTGCAAACTGCCACACATGTCCCAGGTTGTCCACACAGAAGTGAACATACGGTTCTTAGAAGCACGGAGTGGCTAACATGTGGAGCCCCCATATGAAGCTGAGCCACAGGTGTCCAGAGCTCAGAACTTAAACTTAGCATGAGCCCCAAGAAGGTTCATAGATCTTTGTTCTCAAAGCACAAAAGCAAGCAGAAGTAGAATTGGGGCTTCAAAGAAATGAGTGGCTGGGAGTCTGCTGAGGGGGACTAGGAAGAAACAGGAAGACCTGTGGGGGTAAGTGATGCCTGTCCTAGACCTTGTAGGGTGAGCGGCTTCCAGTGGGCGGGTGGGGAGGCACCCCGCCCTGGTGTCCGTGCCCTCGCTCTTCATCAGTAGTTAGATCCCCTTATTTCGCTGAAAGAAAGGCCAAGTACTCTTCCCCTTCTCCCTTGCAACTAGTAGAGACCACCAACTGGAATTCCCGCCGCAGCAGGGAAGCAGAAACGGTGTATCGGCTCAGGCAGTGAGGCAGGAATGTGCGGTGAGTTTGTAAGTCTTCAAGGAGCTGAGGGAAGTAGCAAGATGGCATGAAAGAAAAATAAAGCCTTGTAAAAGAGCCCAACGCAGTATTTTCCCCTGCCGTTGTTTCTCAGTAGCAGCTCCACACTGAATCGACACAACGCATCACTCAGAGGCCAGTCAGGTGCTGGTCCGTGGGATCGATACCACCCCACAGCAACAGACTTCGTCAGGAGAGCCCCTGTCCCCGGCCCTTCCGTCGAAGGGGGAGAGGCCAGCACCCTGCCCCTCACAGCCCGTTCATGACGCGGCTCCTGCAGCCCAGCTGTCATCCTGTCAGATACTTCTGTGTATTTAGCATTTACATTTAAAGAAATTACTACAGAGTAGGCCCAATTTTAGCTTACCTTACCTATTAAAAAAAAACAAACAGAAAAACAGCCAGAAGAATGAATTTAGAAGACAAACCACTGAAAAGGGTGGTATCAATATTTAAGTTACTACAATAAAAATCCTATAGTAACACCCCAAGGAGTGCAGTCCTCTGCTTTCTGCCTGTTCCCCAGGGTCCCCGTGTTAGAGGTACGGAGGCATTTAGTCACATCTTCAAAGTCAGCTTTACTTCCTCGGGATCGTTTCACACACTTACTGGAATTTCAGCCACAGCACAGGTGTTGGTATGGGATGTGACTAGAACTCACATTTCCCAGTATCTGACGAGGGTATTTCAACTGAAAAATAGATGTCAAAGTCAGTTCTGCCAGAACTGACAATAAACATAGTAAATCTTTGGGTCTGAAGTAGGTGATTTTTGTATAATAACCAGGTATTTGAATTACCAAGAAGTGTCTTAGCAATGGCACTGCCACTTTATGGTCTTAAAATAGAAAATACAGCCGCAAAGAATCTCCGTCTAGAAGAAATGTAGTGTGTTGGCACTTCAGATTTGAAAACATGTCAAGTGTACGGACTCTGTTAAGAGGGAGGCGCAAAGTTTTAGTTGGAACCTGAAACTGATGTCATCTTAATTTGTCAAGTCCTCCCCTGAACATTGCAACCTGGCACGAGTTCTACCAACCCAATTTTATGACAGGGTATGCAGGAAAGAATCCCTAAGTTTATTTACATTGCTTTAAGCATATGAAATACGTCCATTTCTTCATCATTTAGCTTAACAGCAAGAGCATGAACGGAAGTTTCTTTGTGTTAATAATCCCTCAGGTACTTCTGCAGGACTCTGGGGCTGCAAATGCATTCTGCAGCATGTGTTGCCAAATGCAACATGTTTTTGGATCAGCAAAACTTTTTGTAAGATGTTCCCTAGTTCCAAGACTTTCTAACTTGTTCTGGATTTCTGGGTAGATATTTGTAACTCCCCCCACCCCCCAAACTACTGCTTGACCTGTGAAACTCAGAAACTTCTAAGTGCAACGTACTGATCCGTTTGACTCCCTTACTGATGGGTGCCATCGACACAGCCCAGGCTCATCAGGGAGACAAAGCCAGGTGCTGTTCTTGTCCCCTGGGGTCCAGGCTTGGTGTGAAGCAGGAAACCTTGGCCAGAGCCTCCTGGGGTTTCAGAGATAATAGGGACAAGCGGGTCTTGGGAAGGCTGGTTGAGAAAGAAGCTGTCCAGGGAAGCCACCACGTCAGCCTCTGTTACCGTTATTTTAGAGGCTTCGTTTATCATCAGCAAAGCCTGGTCAGCTCTGTAACTGCTAATCCACTTTTCAGTTTCACAAACTTCTCTAGGGTGAGCCTGTTAGAATTGCAGAGTCTCTGGCCCCACCCTGGACCTAGTGGATCAGAATCTGCATTCTTCATAAGGTCTCCCAAATGATTCGCCTACACATTAAAGCTTGATAGCACTGGGATAGGGGTCTTGAGGTGAGCAGAGAAGGGAATTGTGTCGGGTTGACCAGGGGCACAATAGGATGGCCCAACACTGACGCTCGAGCTTGTAGCCCCGAGTGTCTCATGGCCCCGAGCCCCACAGCTGTGTGACGCTCCAGTAGCTCTTAGGCAGCTCGAGTGTAGAAACAAAGGCCTGCATTTGGACTGGCCTGAGGTTGGAGATCAGCAGAGGGGGCATGTGGGAAGGAGAGAAGGTGCAGAGTTAAGTGTGTGATCACGAGGATGGTGCAAAATGGCGTTGAGGCTGGGTGGGCAGGAGGGTGGCCGTGAAGGGAGAGGATGACAGCCTGTGTAGTTCTGAGAACAAAGCAGGTTCTCTGGTAAAGTGGGGAACGCTGCCTGGCAGAGCCGCGGTCCAAGACTGCTACACAGGAGCTGTGGAACTGCTGCTGGGCACAGAGATCGTTATGGGTGGAGGAAACGTTCTGTATCTGAAACTGTGTTATGGTATCCCCTGGCCACATGTGGCCATTGAGTACTTGACATGTGACTCTGTGGCTGAGGGGCTGAACTCTCACTTTTATTTGATTCTAAGTAAAATGACCACACGTGGCCAGGGGCTCCCATCTGGAGAGGCCAGGTCTAGAGTCTGCAGCCTTATGGAATCCGAAATTGTACGTTCAGGCAGAAGTTTTTATTTGAAATATAAATTTTCATGCTGAAGAAGGATGCCTCAGTATTTTAGGACTAAAATTAACCCAAAGACACAGAACTCAACTCTTACTATAATTCCCAACTGCGTATCATCCACGGTCTAATAAAACAGAGGGAGAACCACTAAAGGAAGGAAGGAGATCAAGATAGAAGGATGCGGCAGGGAGCAGGGGGCAGTCACACTCTTCTCTGGCTGGTCGCCTGAGATCAACAAGGAGCTTTATGGTGGGTGGGCCAGCGCCTCATTTCCAGGGCAGCAACAGGAACCAGCCTTCAAGAGCTCAGTATCTTGTGCCTGGGATGTCCGTGCCCAAGGAAAGGGCTAGGGCTCCCAGGGGAGCCTCCCTCCCTCTGGGGAGGGGCACGGAGGACTGGCATTCCTGACAGCACAGTCCGCTGACTTCCCTCTTCTGCCACCAGGGGTTCTCAACTTCAGTTGCCTAAAAATCCCAGGGAGCTTGAAGAAGCCAGATTCCCAGGCATCCGCCAGAGATTCTGATTCAGTAGGTCTGGAATAGAACCAAGAAGCTGAAAAAAAAGTTACTTAGTTTCATTGAGGTTGTATTAAATACCAAAGGAGGTACACAGTGCAAAGTGTATCTTTCTCCAGCCCAGCTCCTAGAGGCCAGGTCTCCCACACTCCTGTGATTTCTCTTTTTCACGTTTTAAGACTGACCCCTGTCTGATGTCTGTGGCTCCGGGTGGCCCACCGGCCCTGTTGCACGGCCGTGTGATGCACGAGTGCACCAGTTTATCCAGTCTGCCATCGGAGCACATGCGGGTTGTTTCCAGTTTCTGGCTGTTGGGCAAAAAATGCTGAAAGGAAAGTTCTGGGACGTGAGTCCTAAGGCACAGAAGCACACATTTCTGTGTGGTTTGTACCTGGAACGGAGCTGCCAGGACACAGGGTGGTTGTGTCAACAGTAGACCCACCTCTGCTTGTCATTGTCAGTGTTGGATTTTTGCCAATCAAGTGAATATATAATCATATTTCATTATGCTTTTAATTTGCATTCCCATCATAATTAATGAAGTTTAGCATCTTTTCAAATATTAATTGGCCCTTTGAGTTTCCTCTGCTGTGAAGTGCCTGTTCAGGGTTTTAACCATTTTCCTATTACATTTTTGAACTTTTTTTTTTTAACTGTTGTGTCAGATTTCTATATGTATTGTGGATACCAGTCCTTTGTTGATTATGTGTTGTGAACATCTTTTCCCACTTTATGGCTTGTCTCTTCACTCACTGGAGCATTTCTTATTTTGAAGTAATCTTAAGACTTCCAGAAAAGTTGCAAAACTAATATTCTCATTTAACTTCCCCTAGTGTTAAAAACATAACATAATCAGGACATAAACACTAATATCACGTAAATCGACCCTGAATATTCATTGGAAAGACTGATGTTGGAGCTGAAGTTCCAATACTTTGGCCACCTGATGTGAAGAGCCCACTCATTGGAAAAGACCCTGATGCTGGGAAAGATTGAGGGCAGGAGAAGGGGGCAACAGAGGATGAGATGATTGGATGGCATCACTGACTCAATGGACATGAGTCTGAGCAAATTTCGGGAGATGGTGAAAGACAGGGAAGCCTGGTGCTGCAGTCCATGGGGTCATAGAGTTGGACAGACAGCGACTGGACAGGCATAACATAGTAAGGTCATAACTTTATTGGAATCTCACGTAATGTCCTTTTTCTATTCCAGGACCCCACATGGCATTTAGTTGTTGGGTCTACTTAATTCTCTGACAGTCTGTGGCAGTTCCTCCTTCTTTTCTTATTTTTCATGACCTTGACACTTATGATGAGTACTGGTCATGTGTTCTGTAGAATGTCATCAGTTTGGATTTGTCTGATTTTTCTCATGGATCAAGGTTAGCTTTTTGACAAGACTGTCACAGAAGTGATGTAGTGTCCTTCTCAGTATATCTTATTAAGGAGTACGTGATGTTAAGCGTCTTTAACATTCTTTTTTTA